TCTTTCTTTCTAATTCTGTGTCTGTGCCGCACTGCAGAATCCCTTTCTGAGTAGCATTATTATTATTAGTTCTTCAAATTGGCCCATTATAGTTATACACATGTAGGCTAAAAGATGATATTTCTTTTTCATTATTTTTATTGAGCTATATATTTTTCTCTTCTCCTCCCTTTCTCTCTCCTCCCCTTCTACCCTCTTCCATGGTCCCCATGCTCCCAATTTAGTAAGGAAACCAGATGATATTTCAATTCATGTGTACATTATATGTCATTCAAATCAGGTTAATCAGACCTATCACTCAAATATTTATGTTTTCATTGTACAGAAAATATTCAATCATTTTTCTCCTAACTTTAAAATATTGCTCTGTAAATGCAATCAAAGAAGCATGGGTTTCAAGACATCAAGACACAGACGTTGTTTGAAGTCTTTTCTGCTGCCATTGACCCCTTATTCCAAAATATTATCACACATCTTCTATGTATATGGTGCCCTGGGAACCTGGAGCCAGTGCCCCCCCTGTGAAGACAGGAGACACACAGATTTCTTTCCATCTTCACACAGACGTCGGCTTCAGAAGACAAAGTCACTCAAAAGAACCTGCTTTAAGATGACTTCAGTAAACATATCCTTTTCTCTCTTCAATGAGAAACATTAAAGAGCAGGTCGGAAAAGTCTTTACACAGAGGGAGACTTATCAAACGCTTTACAAATATCGCACGGCGGGGGATGTGAGGTTGAACTCCCCAGAAGCAAGCAGACAGTGTGATGGCTCAGGAACTTTAATTAACAGGTTTTTCATCTCCCTCTCTCTCGAGTGAGAAGGTAGGAGGCAACGATAATTGGTGGTGGAGTTTGGGCCCAGGAAAGACGGCTTTGGCCTAGAAAGTGTGTTTCCCAGGGGGCAATGCTTCGGTAACTTGAAGGCTCTCGCTTACGTCCACCTCTGTTGGCTCCAAACAGTGTGTGACTCTTCCTCCACCGCACTTTACAGTGAGATTCTCGTTCCAAGGGAGCGGGTCAGGGCAGGGGCGTGGGAAGAACAGAGGGTCAAGGAAAGTGACCATTTGACCCAGTTACACTGTATGCATGTGTGAAGAATGTCACAATAAAGCCCAATATTCTATAGACTTCACATATACTACTACTAATAATAAAAATAATAAAAGAGTTTCCCTCCCTTCCTCTCAGGGATGGTTTGATAAAGGGAGGACACCTGTCTGTCTTTCTGTAGCTTTGAGACAGGGATCCAGTCATTGGTAATGAGTTTACCCACCTGTTTGGGTTTGGTTTCTCTTCCTCTTTTGAGAACCGGTCAAAGTGTTCAATCCAGCAGACACAGGAATGTCTCCATAGTCCGAAGGATCTTCAGCTATGGTGCACGGTGACTGTTTCACCTGCCTGCTAAGACTCAACCGGGTACTGATGAACTAAGGCTGCCAGGTCGGTCATCCACCTAGGACTGAAGTCCACGGTCCTCTTTTGTGGCCTACTCTTCTCTTTTCCTTGCAAACTTCTGCAATGCGTGGCGTAGTCAGGGATGCTGCTGAGCTGGACTTCACTGGGCCCTGTCTTTCTATCTCTAAGTAACCGGTTTTAGGTTCTCTGATAAGAGACTGACTACAGTGTTTTCCTTGCTTGGATGCTAATGTTTGATACTTTACTATTTTTGTTTTTCTAATTACACTGATGTTAAAGATTATTATTATTAATCTAAATGTTGTCCATCTTTTTCATTTTTACATTGGACTTTTTTTTTACTTTCTTGAGAGAGACCTTTTAAAGATTGGATGGACTGGAGTAGGTTTGCCATTCTTTTAAGAATGTTTTGGTAGTATTTATGTTTATGTGTTTTCAATGCATCCAGACTGCAGTTTGCCCTCCCCCCACTCCTCCTGGCACCCATTCCTCTCCGACCTCCCCTCTCGCCCAGATCCACTCCTCCTCCATTTCCCATTCAGAAAGAGCAGGCCTCCCAGGGGTATCCACTGACCATGACATAACAAGCTGAATTAAGATGAGGCACCATCCTTTCATCAACTCCAATTCATGTACTAAGGCTAGGGCTGTGCCGCAGTGTGCCGCAGTGTGCCGCAGTGTGCCGCAGTGTGCCG